AAGAAAGAAAGAAACTGTGGGAACAAGTCAGGGACTTGGTCAATCTGTTCAACATTGAGCCCCTGCCTCACACAAGGAGTAGTACATGTGTCCCTGAAACTGATGGGGAAACTGAGGTACAGTGTCTCCTCCATGAGAAGAATTTCCTCTAGTAGAGAGATACTAGGAATGAAGGGAGGAGAACATCAGAATGTGAGGAAGTGACATTGGGAATGTTATGTCTCCCCTTGACCACTGTTTTCAAAAGCTATCTTGGTGAATGTGCACAGGGAAGGAATTATGGGTCTTCAATATCTACCCCACACCCCTAGTATCTGATATCCAGGGCTTTTGCTGATAAATGAGAAAAGGTGTAATTTCTGCTCTCACCTATGAGGATTCTCAAAATTAGAGTGCAAGATAAGTGAACATCTTTACTTTACATTGCCAGGATAATGAAGCCAGAGACCTGGGAATCTGATAAAGGAGAATGGAAGGAGCTGAGTTTGAAGGGGACAGATATTTTGTGGCAATGTGGGTAAATGTTGGTGGAAGACGGAGTTGAGGTCCACAAATACAAAACTAGGACTAGAGTTTGCCCCTTCTCTAAACTATGAACTCTTGGTCACACTCATCAAACACAGTCTCCAAGTTTATTTACATATCCTCTCCTCAATGACCTCAAGTGATTTCCTTTAGGAAACTCTCAGTTCCCAAGATTTAACCAATCTTTCTAATCAAAAGAAAAGGTTGCTTGGGGTGGGGGTGGGGGGGAGGAGAAGAGGGATTAGAGTCAGAAAAAGGGGGTGGGAATTGTATGGGGAATATAACCAATATGAAAATGCATACATTATGCAAAAATGAAAAATGATGTAAGAATTATATAAAATAAAATAATACATCTAAAAAAAAGAAAAGGTTGCCTGGAGGAATGTAATCTGAGGAGGCTTCAACAGGATTTAGTGTTTAATTATTAACATACTAATATTCTATGCTTATTTTATAAATGTTCCAAAGACAACATACAGAATTCAGTCAAGTCTCAAAACATGCTTTAAAATAGCCAAACTAAGAACTCATACCTCTAAACCCACAATTTTATATCTGGGACTATCCTAAGGAATTAATTTCTAAAATATAGATAAGAGCTTGTGAACAAAGATATTAACCCCAGTTCTATAATCACAATGCTAGTTAGTATCATTGAAAATATAGTGACAATAAGGAAGGATTGGGAAATTGTGGTACAATTTATCTAATGGCAAATTATATAAGGATTTTAAATGTTCACTGGGCAGTTGTAATTAAGTGAAAATTAATGTTATAGATTTTAATGTAAAAATATATTTAAAGTAATATACATAGCATGATTAAAACTATGCACTGAAAAAAGCGTGGAAGGAAATACACCAAAATATTAACACTGGTTGTTTTTATAAGAATCTGGTCATGTTTTTCCTTTTTATAGGCTAAATGGTTCATAATTCTGCAATGCAGAGGGAAGGCTTTTTTTTTTTTTAATTTTTTTTTTTTTTTAATAGAGGCATGCTTTTATTTATTTTTTTGTTTGTTTGTTTTGTTTATACATGCACTGGGTACAGTCAGAAGCACGGGAGGGTGGGAGAATTCACCAGAGCCAGAGCGGGGAGCAGAGCAGGCAGAAGGACCGAAGTACACTGCTGAGGGGAGCAGCGGGCGGCAGGAGAGGTCTGCGCGCCATGTGGGACCCTCCTCTGGTGGCCGGGGAGCAGCCGGGGATCGAACCGGTGCTGCAGAGGCCGCGGGCAGCTTCGCAACCCAGCGCTCAACCGCTGCGCCACCGGGAAGGCCCGAGAGGGAAGGCTTTTTAAAGAGCAATCTTTCTGGCAATGTAAAAATTCTACTTGCATAGAAAACTTTTTCTAGGTTTAGTTGACAACTAATCCCTTTATTATCAGTACCTAGAGAATATACCATTTTTTTAGGAAGAGAACATAGGGCAAGGAATATGGAAATCATGAGCAAACCAGCCAAGGAGAAATTTGACCTGCTTAGAAACCTAAACTAGTTCCCTATAATTAGCAGATAAGGAACAGATTTCATGGCCTGATATTCAAGTTTCTTCATAATTTGTTCACAGTATATCCAAACAGCATGCAAGCACTTCTTAACTGAACCTCTTTGTCTGGCTTTCTTTTTGACAATTAAAGTCCTTCCCATCTCTCAGAAAGTGAGTTAATTCACTACCACCCAAATAGACTTTCCTGACCCTCTGATGATCATAGCCTCTATTATTACTTAAGGTGTTGATACAGCACTTAAGTCTGCACCACTGGTTTTCTGGTACTAAATCAATTCTAATTATTTTGCTAATTGCTCTTGATTAATAAATATCTTCCCCAGGTTAGACTTTAAGTTCCTTGAAGTCAAGAACTTAGATAGTGTACAGACTATAGTCATTTGACAAATACATACACACATACAGAAAAAGAGAAAGAAAGTGTAGTTCTAAAAAAGATCACATTGTATTCATACTCTAAGTGATGTCATCTATATATGTGTTGCCTCTGTTTAAAATGCTCCTGGAGGCCTCCCCAGTGGCGCACCAGTTCAGCGCTGGGTTGCGAAGCTGCCTGCAGCCTCTGCAGCGCTGGTTCGATCCCCAGCTGCTCCCGGCAACCAGACGAGGGTCCCACATGGCGCGCAGACCTTCCCTGCCGCCCGCTGCTCCTCTCAGCAGTGTACTTCGGTCCTTCTGCCTGCTCTGCTCCCCGCTCTGGCTCTAGTGAATTTTCTCACCCTCCTGCGCTTCTGACTGTACCCAGTGCTTGTATAAATAAATAAATAAATAAATGAACAAACAAATAAATAAAAATCTTTTTTTAAATAAATAAATAAATAATAGAAAAATAAAATGCTCCTGGCTGGCACCCATTACTAAGACATTCACTTTCCTTTGTCTTAATAACGGTGGTATTGTGTTTTTGCTTATCTCATACCAATTCTTCTGTTCCTGTTGGAATTGAACAGATCAGACTGTAAAATGCCTCACTGAGGTTCAGACAGCCATATAAACAACAAATAGAAATGAGCTTCTGTGAATCAAACTTAAGACTCATCACAGGACCCTACTCCCCTTATAGTGTTGTATGAACTACGAATGTAAATATCAGCCTCCATCCTCAATGGCCTTATTTAGGCTGTGGGCATTAGTCTATCAATATCCCCATTAACTTAAAAAAAATTCTCCAAAGCAAATGGCTCAATACTTTAGAAATGATGACTAAGATGACTATGTTTCTGACTGCCATCAAATACTAATCCAGTGCTTAGAGATAATGAGCATTGTGTGCCATAGCAACTTGCCTCCTGAGACATCAATACCAGTTGTATATCTTTAGAGAAAACACATAAATCATAAATGAAAGCAAGTCAAACGATAAAGCAAAGAACCAAAAAACAACCTAGCATCCATTATTTTTTGCAACAGGAGCATACAAGGTCAATATATCAATAATTGTTGAATCTGAAGGGGAGGCAAACACAAATCAATTTGATTTCCCACTATACAGAAATACTTATTGTTACAACACACATGACTTTTTAAATGGGAAACATGGCACCTAATAGTGTGTTCACCAACTACTACTAGTTGGGTGATCTTGAACCTTCTCTTTATTTCAGTTTAGTCTGTAAAATGAGTTGTCACCTGTAATACAAATTTACAGAGTTGTAATGAACCAAAAAACAAATTATCAGTCTAGATTTCTATGTCACCCTACTGTGGGGTGTAGTTCAGACACACATGCCATGAACTAGACAACTGTTGTAACTGCAAATGTTTCCCTAGAGTTTTTTAAAAAGGAAAAGATTTCTAGATCTTTTTACTTTCCTAATTGATTTCTCCAACACTTGCACATCCACCGTAGATCACTGACAAAATGCACTGAGTATCTCTTGTTATGACATAACTCCCTTAAGTAGTGTTGTCCAGTTAGGCAGTTTTTTTGTTTGTTTGTTTTTGTTTTTTTGTTTTTGTTTTTGTTTTTATTTTTTTGGTATATAATGTCTAAGAAAATCGTTTTTTGTCCACATGATTTAAAGAATATTCTTACTTCCATATTAAAGAACAATAATTCCACATAAAGGAAATTTACAGGCTATTGTTGCTGTTGTTTGAGATTACTCCCATGGAAATTATTTCTGTATTTCCTATGTGAAAGCAGATATGTACCCCCGGACATACTATTCCTTAATACACTGGAAGTCTCATGAACGTTGGAGTCAGGGACTCGCATTTAATTTCCTGTTCTATGACCTTGAGTGGGTAAAATTAACTTCCCTGCTCTGCACTTAGTCCATCTGCTTGTGAGTTGTGATGATTTGATGAAATAATACATATATAAGTGTCTAGGCTCTGAAAGCACTACTCATTTCCCACCACCCTCAAATCTTTTCCTCCTATGCCAGGACGAATCAAACCCATCCTCAATCCATGACAACTTGGGTACAGCATCTTGCCCAAACATTAAGGGAGGAACGTTGTGCGATGTAAAATTGAGTGGACTTAGGGTTTCAATAGCACAAGAAGTAGAGAAAGTGAGTAGTACTGACAAGGGCCCTACATTTCCATCGCCTGTTCAAAAAAAAGACACGAATCTGACACTTTCAAGATTGCACGGCACACTCACGAGGTTTGTACCAGAATGTGGGAATAGGACGGAATTACAGAACAGACCAACGTGGGGAGCCTCCTAGCTCACCCCACTCAATCCTGTCCGCCCAGGTCGGTCTTCTGGAGGCTGGAAACTGAGGTGAGGCGCGGCAAGTGACCTCGCGCCCCCACCCTCCCCCATTCCGTCCAAACCTCTCGGGACACGAATGGTGCTGAATCATGTGCACTAACACAGCAGCTCCCCGCTCTGCTGCTCCCGCGGGGGACAGAGTCCCCAGAGCAGCGGCGCTCCGGGGTGGAGGCCGAGACCTCGAGGTCCAGGGGACAGTGAAAGGGGCTCGAGGAGGCTGGGGCAGCAGGTACTCACCCCGGTGCGGACAGCCCAGCCCGGTGCCTCGCCTCCAGCTGCAAGCGGTCCCTCCGCGGCCCGCGCGTTGTCTGGCTCCCCGCGGGCAGCCGTACCCCGGCCCGGCAGCCGCGCTGTTGGTTCGATGCTCCCTTCCACCCACCCACCCACGGCCCGTGGCAGCCACCCCTCGGGCTCCGGCGCTGGACCCGGAGCAGCTGGAGCAGCTGTCGCTGCCGAAGGGGTGGTGGTGGCTACCGACGGGACAGACCATTCGCGGGCTGCGGCCGGGGGTGTGCGCCGTGCGGAGCAGAACGGGCGCCGAGGGCGCGTCGGGCGGGCGACTGTTGGGAGGAACCAAGGACGAGGGGGGACCCTCCGGGCCCCCACCCCCACCCACGCCCCAGGAGGGCTGGTGGGCGGGAGCGGCCAACACTGGAGCAGCTGCTCGTCCCAGTTGTTGGGCTGAAGATCGTGCTTTGGCTTTGCGGGGCACCCCCCTCCCGGTTTGCCTTGGTGCGGCTCGGGGCGCCTCTAGAACGCGGCAAACAGAGGACTTAGCAACCCGAGCGCCTGGGCGGTGTCCCTGCTTGGGAGATGCGAAAGGGCGCTGGCCGGAGCCGCGCTTCAAGCCACCGTCTGCACCATCGCACCCTGTGGCGCCAGCTCCCGGTGCATCTCGCTCCGCAGGTGTCTGGTCACGAAACGGAGGAGGCATCTTGAGTCCTTGAACTGGCTGCTCAGATCTTTAATACAAGTACCTTTGTGGAGCAAAGAATAAAAGGGTATCCAAGGCCCGCTTGAAAGTTAGACAATTAGATCAAGTGGGGCTCACATGCTGTAGATGCTTTGTAGAGACTGGGAGAGGCAGTTTTCAATCCCAGGGTTAGTGCTACTACGCACCGTTGGACCACGGCGATTGGAAAATGTAGATTTAGGAACTTTTAATTTCGGGGTCTATAAAGGAGTAGTAAAGAAATTCAAGAATATTTCAGACTCTCATGTTAGAGATTAATGTGTTGGGAAAGGAAGGGAATCGTGTCCTCAGATGAAATGAGCTTCATAGAGGTGGCAAGATAAGTCCCAACACGTAACATACCTTAAACTTGTGAGAATACTTTTTGCTCCCTGTCCCTGTCACAGCCAGGCTTACCCAGGTTCACGTCGAGTCTTGGTGAACATTGATACAATTGTACACTTTTTTTAACAGAAGGAAAAAAAAAAGGAATTTGCAACTACCTTTAAAAGATAATGTAAGGAAGCAGCCAAAATTTGTTACAAGTCCTCCCAAACAATATGAAATTACGTAGTACGTAAAAGTCATTTTCTCTAGTTAAGTGTTTGTGCTCTTTTTGAGTAAACTGACATAAATTGAGCCACCTAGTGTGGACAAAGTACTGTCTTGATTGTATTTCCAGTTTCGTGCCTTTATTTTTCTAAAAGCTCCTGTGAAATTGGTATTATTGTACCTGTTTTTTGTTGGGGAGTTTGTTCTGGATTCCCATTTTATAGATTAAGAGTGACAGAGCTAGTGTTACAACTAGGAATTGTTGGCTTGTGTCTTTGCACTAGAATATCTCTATGAAAGATACACTGTCTATTTATGACTGGCACTTAAATATGGGTTTGTTTACCCTTCTTTCCTGAAAAACCAAGTTTCAGGTAGAGAAAGGGACACTTAGAAATCAAAGGTGGACAACTGGGAGAACATTTTTGCACCCAACACTAATGATAAAGGACTGATCACAAAAATCTGCAAAGAGCTGACGAGACTCAACAACAACAAAGAAAATAATCCAGTCAAAAAATGGGCAGAAGAGCTAAAAAGAAACTTCTCTGAAGAGGAAATGAAAATGGCCAACAGGCATATGAAAAAATGTTCAACATCACTTGTCATCAGGGAAATGCAAATCAAAACTACCATGAGATACCATCTTACACCAGTGAGAATGGCACATATTAAAAAAACTAGCAACAACAAATGTTGGCGAGGGTGTGGAGAAAAAAGAACTCTTGTGCACTGTTGGTGGGAGTGCAAACTGGTCCAACCACTATGGAAAGCTGTGTGGAGATTTCTGGACCTACTAAACATAGAACTTCCATATAATCCAGCAATTCCACTCCTAGGTATTTACCCAAAAGACACAGATACATCAATTCCAAAGAACACCTGCACCCCTATGTTTACAGCAGCACTGTTTACAATAGCTAAGCTTTGGAAACAACCCAAATGCCCAAAAATAGATGACTGGATCAAGAAGATGTGGTACATACATACCATGGAATATTACTCAGCATTCAAAAAAGATAAACACATGCAATTTGCAGCAACATGGATGGCACTGGAAGGGATCATGCTCAGCAAAATAAGCCAAAAAGAAAAAGAAAAATAACGGATGGTCTCACTCATAACAGGAATCTAGAAAACTTAAATAAGGAACCAGGAAAATGAATAACTATAAGAAAGTGAAAATCAAAATCAACAAAAAACTATGAACCAGAGACACTTTTAGGGGGGCGGGGCCGGGAGGGGAGGGATTGGGGTCAGAATGGGGGGGCTGCAATTGTATGGGGAATATAACAATAAAATTTATTATTTAAAAAAAAATAAATAAATAAAAAAGAAATCTAAGGTGGAAATCCCTGAGGTTAAGAATGGTTATTAGAATAACCCAGAAACAACAATGTCAAATATGCACTATTAAGGTCATGTGAGACTAAAGAGGAATTCTCTAATACCTTTCAGTTAATCATTTTTACAACATCATTTATTCTAATTTTTCACTTGACACTATATTATTACACCACTTGACACTATCACTCTTCTAATCCCAGGAAGAAGCAAGAGTTTTTTTTATATAAACCTATTGTCTCAGGTCCTCATATATTGCACAATTTCAAGAACAAAAAAAATAGCAAGGACAGTAACAACTCACATTTTAAGGAAGCTTTTAAGAAATCAAGAATAAAATTAAGGTGTTTCCCTATATCATTCCATTGTTGCTTTGTCAACTTTATAAATGTTCACACATTAGCACAACAGAAATCCCCAGAGTTCCATGTTGCTGAGGAACTGGGACACTAGATCCCAGTGAAAACAGGCAGATGCGACTCAGGGTCACATGTCCTCAGCCTCAAAAATGAGTGAATCTTCTTTCCATACACAGTTGTTTCACTTTCACAGTAGACAACAAAGGAGCATGGAGTAGACAAGATGCATTTAGTTCTCTGTCAGATTCTGGTTAACAAGGACATCGGAAGAGAGGGTAAGATCTTGGTGGTCCATCTGAGTCCAAATTGTGACTAGAACTGTATCATTTATACGCCCTTGGACTGTTCACCTCTCCAGCTACATATTTGTCTAAGTTGACATTCTTTGAGCATTTGTTTCTGAATTAAGCCTTGAGAGACTGTCAGAAGGAATAGACATTATGGTTTGTACGTTCCTTGTTTACCCATAGACTTTCCTAATTGTCTTGATCCCCTTGGGAAAGAAGTCAGGGTTAGAAACTGAGAAATCCTTTTCACAATTGATGTTGTGGGTGTTGGTGGCAATGTTTAGCACAGAACTGGTGGGGAGGGACCATTGTCTTGTTCAGTCTGCCATAGGTCTCTATGCAGTGTTGCCATTAATAAGAAATGGCTCTGCCAACAAAGAACTAATCTCATAAAGGGCATTGGTGGCCAAGACAGCATCAGATAACTTGTCTAAGAGACCAGAGTAGTAAGAATCAGTGACATTGTTTCTAAGTCACAGTTGAGAATTTCCTGTCTTAAATGAGGATGCTTGGGTCAGGGGAGGTGCTTGTTAAACTAAGATGAATATTTGATCATTTTAAACAATGCTGTTATGTGAATTTATTTGTATTCACAAACCAGCATTAACTGCAGACTTTATTTTTTTATAATGTTAGAAAGGCATTTATTTCTTTTTTAAAAGATTTATTTATGCATACAAGAATGGGGGTACAGGCCAGAGATGCGGAGGGTGAGAGGCATCACCAGAGACAGAGTGGGGAAAAGAACAGGCAGAATGACTGAAATACACTGCTGAGGGGAGTAGCAGGCAAGACAGGAGAGGTCTGCTGTGCCATGTGGGTAGTTCCCTGGCCGGGGATCGAACTCATGCTGCAGTGGCTGCAGATAGCTTCATAGGTTGTGTCTCAACCCCTTGTGCCACAAGGGAGGCCCTGCCTACAGACTTAATATTAAGTACTTGTTATTTGTTGGTCACAGACAAAGGCTGTGTATGACATTAATATCCCAAGTTACTTATGTTGAGGACAGTATTTAATAGTGTTATTTCCATTTGTTTGCTTTTAGCTAAAACTTATGTTTGAGATAAGTTATCTTCTTTTTATATAAAGAAACTGAGCATTGCAATGGTTAATTTGTCAAAGGCAGCACAATTGGAGAGAAGCAAAGCAGAATTTCAAACCTTACCCAATACATTATTCTCAGCAAACTTTATAGCGTCTCTTGCAACATAGAAAGCAGGTATATATGAACGTGTCTCTATAATAAATAACATCTAATTCCTATTCATTTTTGCAATGTATTTTCAACTCTCATTCCTAAAAGGAAATGAGTCATGTCCCACAAAGATTTAAATGAATCTATTCAGGGCCTTCCTAGTGGCGCAGGGGTTAAAGTCTCAGCACTATTAAGCCATCACCAGCCACTGCAGCATAAGTTCCATCCCCAGCCAGGGAGCTGACCCACATTGCACAGCAGACCTCTCATGTCTCATCCACTGCTCCCCTCAGCAGTGTATTTCAGTAGACCCACCTGTTCTGCTCCCCACTCTGTCTTTGGTGAATCCTCTCATTCCTCACACCTCTGGCCTACACCTCAGTTCTTGTATGCATAAATAATCTTTTAAAAAAAATGAAAGAATCTCTTCACACTGGAAACAAGAAGTACCCATTTGTAGGCCTGGGTTTACAAAGGAGACCCTGAAATAAGAAATGATCATTGCAGCATAGACTTGACCAGTGAGTTCTAAATTCTTGCTGCAGATTCTAATCGCGCCAATGTTCTTATGAAGCACTGTAGGTGATTCTAATGCACAACCAGAAGGATATGGAGCCACAGAATCATCTAGTTT